GTGTACATACACCTCAAATACCTCTGTTTTTTTTCATATTTTTTTTTTCAGGTGGAAACCTGGGCCAAAAGCCAGATACAAATGCACCGTTGTGTGTCAGCAGTGCGCGAAACTGAAAAATGTTTGTCAGACTTGTCTCTTCGATTTAGAATACGGATTGCCTGTACAGGTGAGCTTTCATCTTCTTTATATAAAAATAATTTCAAGGGTTTAGGGTTTAGGGTTTAGGGTTTAGGGTTTAGGGTTTAGGGTTTATTTGGCCTCGAATATATATATCATTGACCAGAACTGTATAATATTGAATTCCAACTGTGTAGTATTTTCTTTCCGTTTCTTACAAAATCCATTCTTTTTTCCACAAACTAAAAAAAAAAAATAAATTATATTATTTATTTATTTTTATTTATTTATTTATTTATTTATTATTATTTATAAATAATATATAATTTATTTATTTATTATATGTTTAGGTCCGAGATAAAATAATGGGTGAGAGCCGTGTATCTCTCCCTGAGCATCCCGTGAATAGAGAATATATGAATTTAAGAATGAATAACATAGAAGAGGGTTTACCATATGGAAAAAGCGAAGAAATAGATAACCAACTCCGCCGCATGGCTCGCACTACCCCTTACTACAAAAGAAATCTACCCAGGGTCTGTTCTTTCTGGAGAAAGGGACAATGCACCAGGGGACAGGAATGCCCATATCTACACCAAGAATTATACACAGATCCCACCCTTGCAGCACAAAATATCAGAGACAGGTATGCATATATATGTATATATATATTTTTTTATATTTAAATATATGTGTATTTGTTTATGTATTTATTTATGTATTTATTTATGTATTTATTTATGTATTTATTTATGTATTTATTTGTGTATTTATTGGTGTATTTATTGAGGGGAATGAGTGCCCATATCTACACCAAGAATTATACACAGATCCCACCCTTGCAGCACAAAATATCAGAGATAGGTAAATATATATTTGTATAAATGTTTATATATATTATATATATGTATATTTATTTATGTATTTATTTATGTATTTATTTATGTATTTATTTATGTATTTATGTGTTTCTTTTTTTTTATTTTTTTCCTTATTGTACATCATCAGCTGCAGCAGTTTTATGCTGCTGTTATTTTTGCTGCTGCAGCATTCTGCATTTGCGAGCTACAGATTGTTTTTTTATAAAACTATAAAATTATTTATTTTATTTTATTTTATTATATTTTATTATATTTTATTTTATTGTTATTTTATTATATTTTATTATATTTTATTTTATTATATTATATTTTATTTTATTCTTTATTTTATTTTTTTATAGGTATATAGGGCAAGACGACCCAGTAGCGGCAAAGATACTGCGGATAGCGGCAAACAAAACAGAGGAGGAGACAGCCCCACCAGCAGACGAAAGCATAACAACATTATATATAGGGGGTCTTATTGATGGTGTGAGAGATACAGACATAACAAGCAGACTATCTATATATGGAGAGATACTAGCTGTACGTATAAACCCAAATAAAAAAGCTGCATTTGTTTGCTTCGCTGAGAGAGCTGCTGCTGCAGCAGCTGTTAAACAACTAGCAGGACAGCTCAATATAAACGGGGCTTGCATGCATGTCGCCTGGGCTAAGCCAAAGGCGAAGCAGCAGCAGAGAGAAACCGATACAGACACCAGCAGCAGCAGCAGCAGCAGCAGTGCTGCTGCTGCTGTCCCTGAGGGTTATCTACCCCCCCCCATGCCTGGGCTTCCTGCTGTGCCTCTCCCCTTCGGCCTCCCCGCTC